GGGGGGGGGGGGGGGGGGGGGGGGGGGAGTAGGGCCTCGGCCCCAGCCTCAGTAAGAATCAGAAGCGGCGTGGTGACAGAAGAGAGGATGAGGCCCACTGAACTGTGATTTTCAGGTGAACTAGCGTTGAGTCAGGGGATGCCTTAGATGAATAAATGGTACACCTGAGAACAAACCAGCGGAGGGTGCCCCGAGCTTCCTGGTTTCTGGCAACCGACCCATTTCTGTGCTGCTGCCCCCCACGTACAAACCTTAACAAGCCGTGCTGAGTTCTCAAAGATGGCTTTTTCTCTCACCCCCTCCCCAGAACTTCAGAGGACGAGGAAACAATCGCGGCTACAAAAATCAATCTCAGGGCTACAACCAGTGGCAGCAGGGTGTAAGTAACTTCTTCTGTGCTATGGACACTAATTGTATTTGAAGTTCCTAAGAAGCAGTCTTGAAAAACTTGTCGAGGGATTGGAGTGTTGATAAGTGTTCAGGGCAAGGTGTGAATATAGGTGGAGTTTGCTGTAATTTAACATTATATGATAAAATACTCTTTAATACAGACGGTTCTTTTTATTGTTAGCGATAATTGTATAAACTAACCAAGTCATGATGTGTTTTCTTTTTGTAATGTGTTTATTGATAATAATGGGATATTAATACTAACTAAATCTGGTTTGGTAGAAATCAGAGGTATGACAGGTATAAATTTGTTTCCAGCAATTACTCTGAATTAGATTGTCATTTCCTAAAAGCAGTTTGAGTGGCTTATTGATGTTTTTTCTTTAAAAAAAAAATTTTCTCTTACAGCAATTCTGGGGTCAGAAGCCATGGAGTCAGCATTATCACCAAGGATATTATTGAATACCCAAATAAAACGAACTGATACATATTTCTCCAAAACCTTCACAAGAAGTCGACTGTTTTCTTTAGTAGGCTAACTTTTTAAACATTCCACAAGAGGAAGTGCCTGCGGGTTCCTTTTTTAGAAGCTTTGTGGGTTGATTTTTTTTCTTTTCTTTTTTGTACATTTTTAATTGCAGTTTTAAAGTGAATCGTAAGAGAACCTCAGCATTGTGCACGATAAGAGAATGTGTCAGTATTTCAGGGTTCTACATTTTATCTGTAAAATGTGACTTTTTTTTTTATCACAACAAAAGTAAAATGTTGCTTTGTACCTGGTGTCTTTTATTAAGAATTTACTCCCCCCATTTCTCACAGAGATAACAGTCGGGAGTCATTGTCACAATATAATAGAAATGTTAGCAACCAGATTCATGTAAGGACTAAGTAGTCCTCATGAATTGCATAAGACTCTGTACTGCTCATAGTACACTCCATCCTCTCTGTAGTTTGCTGAGTAGTGGAGGGGGAAGGCTTCAAGAGTAGTTTCCGACAATAACTGGGAAGGCTTTTTCTTTTTTTAAACAATGGAATTGGCATAATTGGGAATGAAGATAAAACTTGGAACCAAGATAGAGAAGATGGAGTGTATGTAGAAGGGCTGTTAAAAATGTAAAACTTGGTTGCATTATTTGTGGAGGCTCAAACTTGTGAAGGTTCAATACCATACTTTTTCCATTTGTTCTGCATTTTGATTCTGAAAAGAAAGCTGGCTTTGCCCATTTCTTATTAAAAAAACTTGTTGTAAATCCAGTTGTCTAATGGGATCTATATGAAGTTAGCTATGTCTGTATGCCCTTCTCCCACAAAATACTGTATAACTAGTGTGCTTGTAGTAGTTTACTCCACCATCTTTGTAAGCTAATGACATTGTGAGTCACCCATTTATATCTTAATTTTTAATCATGTCAGTTCTTGAATGGGTATCTCCTTAGCCTGCTGATTTCTTTTTCTTTCTAAAGAAAGTGGGTGGAGAAATTAATTTAGACGTTTGTTTGCAATAAAAAGAATTCATTTTACTCTCGTTTTGGGATTCTCGCCATCAAGGTTCAAAATCCCTTTATAAAACTCCCAAGAGGAGAAAATTAAGTGTGTGCTTTCTGGACAGCTTATTCTTTACTCTGTACTTGGAACATTTAGGTTTTAAAAACTTAAATGTATACTGACAATTGACTTTGAATTATGAAGTAAAGTTGAATTCTTCCTTCCCCTCCCCCCCAGATGACTTAACATTTTAATGAGGGGAAATGGTGTACTGGCTGGGAGAAGTTAACACTCCGTTTACCATCTTTACCAAATGCTAATGGCTGTCCTCAACCGAGTATCTTATACGCACCTATCTAATACATGAAACTCTGGGAACAGATGCTTTTAGAAGCCATCATGCGAGCCAGTCGTTGATTTCACTACTGCACAACACTGCTAACTTAACGTAGCTATGTGACAACATTAGATCCCCTAATTGTAATTCTATTGGGTTTGCACAGAACACTTAATCTTAAAGGACCCTCACTGATGTGAAGTGAGGAATCAGGAGTCAAACTGTAGAACTAAAACTCGACTTCAGTCTAGTGTTTTGTTGGTGTTTTAGGTTGCTTCTGCTAAGTTTAGGTTTGTTTATATTTCTGTTTGCTTAGATTTTTGTTGTAGCCATTTTAAATCAGATCTTTAACTTCTTCATACTCCCAGGAATTTTGCTACAAGCTGAGCTGGAGTTGAGTTTTAGATGGTGGTGTAGGTTTAGTTGATAAATTTTTGGAACAAAGGCTAATCCTGTAATTACCGTAAGGACACTTAATGGTACAAGGCAGTGTCTCAAGGGCTTTTGGTTTTTAGCAGTTAGCTTACTGGTAGCAACTGCTGGCATGAACTCTTTCTCGGTGTACCTTATAATTATGAGGATTGCATAGACTGACCCGGGGGAAAAGTTCAGCCTTTGTTGCTAATCAGTGTTTTAGGTACCTTTGAAGAATCTTGGATCTATTTTCTAGTTTAAAATTGCTTATTTACAGAATTCATATTCTAATCACAGTGGGAGAGAGTAATGGCCAAATAACACGTTGGTAGACTGTCGTGCCTTGTGTAGCCCAGAAAATTTTGGGAAGAAAGGTGAATAGATGGAGATACTGTCCAGGAAAACATTAAAATTTCCAGAAGCAGTCTAAAGATAGACCTAATATGTATGGGAAGAAATAATCTTAGTGTTTTAAGAAATTCAGAAGAAGGGAGTGTAGCAGATAGCAAGCAAGCAAAAGGGAGGAAAATAAGGAATGCCATTTGGCAGAGTAAGATCTGTCAATGAGAAACTTGGTTTAGTCTTTGCCCCTCCTCTTGCCTGCCTCTCGCCTGCCTCTCTGTGGCAAGCAGAACACCAGATAAACTAAAGACGTGGTTCTGAGCACGTCTCAGCTATGCCCGTGAGACTGCAGTTGCTTTGAGTGGTGCTTTCCCCAGAAAGTTTTGCAGGGAGTCGAACCGACCATCCTGAGTCAGGTGTTGGGTCAGATTGGTCAGCTACAGTCTGGTGCAAACAGCATGAATAGGTTAACCAGGAAAGAAGGCAAAACACTGCAAGATAGAAATGAAGTAACCCATGCTGTCCCGTAGAACATTTTCTTTGTTGCTGGTAGGTTACATCTTGTCACTCTTGTCTGGCCTTTGACAGAGGGCTCTGGCTTGGACTGAGGAGGCCAGGACTAACCTCTGGCCCTGATACCCAGGTCTGTCACACAGTAAGATGAAATCTTAGAATGAAGCATGAGTCAAGTCAGTCTGACATTGAAATGACGAAGCCATGTTAAATGCACAAAACAAGAAGCTCACATTTGCCTAGGATAGATCCTGTCCAACGATAAGGACAATGAAACTAGAGGTCCTGAGCACTAATGAGGTGTTGAAGCTTCTTAAAAGACCGTTGTCTTTAAAAAAGTACTTAAAAATTTTTCCAGGAAAGTATTATTTTTCACCTTCTGGAGAGTTTACATTCATGGACAGATTACGCTCTGTAATGTTTGCATCAGTTTGAGTTGAATGATTTTTCTATAAGGTTAATATAAATTGGCTTTTTATCCTAGGATCATTTAAGTCCCATTGCACAAATAAAAATGAAGTATTTCATAGCTTTTTAAGCAGTGGTATAGACTTGTCTCACATACAAAGACCTGATGATAGGTCTGTGGGAGTCTGATACCTTTAAAAAGCTGAAACCAGAATAAGCTGCTACTGAGGAAGGTGTAAATCTCTTTCATAGCCCAGGTCTTAGTTTCTGATATTAAACATACATGTGCATCTTAAAAACGTTTCCATAATTCCCTCTTCACATGTAACTATAAAATGTGTTTTAAAAAGTGGGTGGAACTTGTAGCAGAGAATGATTCTCCGCTCCCACCCCCCAGAATATTCCATGAGATACTGTGGAAAGATGAATACGGTATTTTCTGTAAAGCCATTTTCTCCTAAATTTTTTTAAATGGTTTGAATCTAAACTTTGTTGTTCATGTTTCTGGGGCTCTGAGAGAAACTTGGTTTCAGTTTTAACATTTTCAGTAATGGTAAAAGCAAAGATATGTAGTGTCCCAGCCTTGGCAATAGGTTGCAGTAGTTACACACAAGAATTAAAGGATATTAAGTTAGGGCTTTGAGAATCACCTGCATTGGCTCTCTCTAAACAGCAATTTGGATTTATTAGTCATTGGAGAGCAGTCTCTTCAAATTGTTAATTGCCTAAACTTACTTAAAACTACAGTGCCCTTTTGATGTGTGGAACCTTTTGTTGGGATGATTTTTAGATTTGAATCTTTTTAGCCCTACTGTTGTTCAGCTGCTTCACTAACCTTTACTAACCTTGATATTTAAAATAAACCCTTCAGAACTATTTTGGAAGTGACCTAAAAGTGTGCTGATGTGGGGGTAGGACAAAAAACCCAGGATCCCCAGTATCTTAACATTCCAAAGTTTTTGTATATGTGAAGTCAAATAGTTGAAATAACCTACCTTAATATTTTTACTATGTTTTGCTAAAAACATGCTATTTTACTTGGTCACACTTTGTTGATTTCAACATGTGGGCAGCTGGAGCCCCCCAAAATAAGAGTGCTTTAGATAGGTGGGAAGTAAGGATGTACTGTCCCATTCTAACCAGTTGACTAAAAATATAGGTGATTGAATATATTTAATTAGGTTGTCTAAGGAACTTAATTTAGTCTGTAAGGCTTAGTAGATTGTAAAATATTATATTCATAACGTTAACCTAGAATTATTTTTAAAATGTGACACCTATGTCTCATGAGGTTACGTTGGGGATGTGCTGTCCATGTGGAAAGCTGAAGAAGGACAGGTTTTTGGCATGACGTAGATAACTGGGGAATTTCAGCTGTGATTGTACAATCAGATCAGTATTTGTAAGGGAACAAATAGATAAACTGCTAGGCCAGCACATCCGTAATCACTGGTTAGGTAAGTTATCGAGACAAGGACCTTAACTATGTGCTTAAATTTGTATTTACTTAGTTATTGCCTGGAAATATTACAATTGTTTTCTCCCTTCTCATGCCAGGATTCAACATACACTTGAATCTTGACAAGGAACCAGGGGTTTTGCTTTTAGACAAAACGATCTTTGGGTATGAGAAACAATATTCTATAGTCGAAGGTGTAATGATAATACCGTCGAGGTAAATAGAGCACTGTCTTGACGGAGAAGTGGGCTATTTGCTGCCCCGTTAGCGAGTGCGTTGTGCACCCGTGGTGTAGCTCGGCCTGCGCTGCCGGCAGTTTTGCAGGGATGAGAGGCTAGAGAGCCGACCTGTCTAATAAACGTGGAGCTGTGGCTGATGGCATGTGCTTTCCTGCCATTTCTGTAACAGTCCGTGACCTTAGAGGAAGTCAGGTCAGCTTTGTACAGTAAAATATTCTGTACTTGCCAAGCACTTGAGAAGCAGATCCACAAATTTGCATCCGTGAAAAAATTAAGAAACAAAAGCCAAGAATGATGAGATGAGCAGTATAGTCCGCTAACCTGTGACTTAAAAGCTTTGAAGAATTAGGGCATGCAGAGAGAAGGAGAGGTAAAATCCATACTTTTGAAGAATGGTTGGGGTTTTTTGAATGGCAAGTAACAGGTAGCTATTAATAGAAGGTATCCTTTTGGTTGTCTGTAGTTAAGGGAGTGGGAGCATCGTGGTCAAGTACAGTAAAAGGTTCCAACTTAATATATATATTTTTAAAGTAATAAAGCAAAAAAAAAATGCTGATTTAAATTTCATCTCCTTTTCCTTAGTCTGTCCATGTGAATGTGCTGTGTGGAAGAGTAAAAGGGCCCAACTAAATGTGTTCCAGTGATTCCAATAGGTATTCCAAATTAATTGCTGCTTGTACATTTAACACTTGTTATATTGGGCTTCCAGGATCACCTTAATTAGAACTCCCTTATTTAAAAGGATGGGAAAAGGCAATAACTGGTAACCCAGATTGGGTAGATTGTATAAACAGGAAAAAAAAGGTTTTCTAACTTTCCTTTGCATACCTGAAATGTGAAGTAGTTGGTGGTGTAATGTTAAGCAGTTGGCGGTCCTCTTGCCTAGGTTTAAGATTGTATGCAAAAGGAGCCGAATCCTTGTAAGGTTCTAATGGTTCAAATTCCTTGTTTTAACTTTTTGTGAGACACTCATTTTAATACTTCCCACTTGCAGAGCTTAAATACTTTAAGTATTTTAATGCAGAAAAACGAGTCTAGGATACCTGTGTCCTTGTTTTTCCCAGCCTTCTGCGTCTGTGCGAAACGCACAAATACTTACTAGCTTATAAACACTTGGAAACTAGATTGAAAGCCTTTTGGAGAATAAGGAGATAGGACTCCATTACCAAAAAGGAAAAATCAACTATAGGAAGTAAATTTAAACTGTAAAGACAGAGGGAATAAAAGGCTCAGTGTGACCTCTGATTGTGCCTCCAGAGCATGTAATTTCTTATTGCCCTGAAATCATTTAAAGACTTGGTAAGAAGCTTAGAGGAAATCTGCTATTCTTCCCACCACATACTCCAGAATAATGTATCTTGGTGAAATGAGAGGACCTGGGTGCTATACTGATTTGAAATGTAGCTGTCAGGATTTGAATACAGTTCTGTGTCAACTAAAAATCTAATGGCTTCTGAAAGAGCAGACAGCTTGGTTTCAGACCAAAGGTAAAAATCGTAACTATTTTGTTCATTTGAGGGAAAAAAAAGTTAAAACTAGAAGAACATCGTTTCAAAAGTAAACTTTGAATTCAGATGGCAAAGCATAGGTTTCATTTCCTATGACTTGTCCTCACAGTCTAAAGGGAAGAAACATTTCTATGGAAGCCGATCCATTAAGAAACCAGTGTTTGCAGATTACTTTGATTTACTAAGGACAGGCCATCTAAGGTGGTTTAATAGATTTTATTTGTTAACTTGATCTCAACTTTTAAAAAGGGAACAGTAGAAGCCTGTTTAAATTCGTACCTGTTTATAATGTCTCTGGTAGTTTTGTCAAGATAGAAATACTTGGGGCAATCATCTGTATTCTAGAAAACTGAAGAGTAAGGCAAATGTAGTTGAAAATTATTACTTGCAACACAATCTGTAGTGCTCATGTTACAAGCTTCAGAATGTAATACTTTAAGACCTTTGTAGTAAGTTTTTGTCCCTAAAGCTTCCTATTTTAAGAGAAAAAGATGGAGCTTACTGCATAAAATGAGCTGTGTAAGATGCCAGTATTTGGGTGGTAGAGGATATTGGTATATTGTCCTGAATGAATGACCACTGGACCCTATTAAGATGCTTCCAAAAAATATTCTAGAGGACTATTAAAAATCAGAATTCTAGCAATCGCTTTAACTTTTCTACTTAAGATTTTGTTTACCCAAGTAAAGTACATATATATATATTAACATGAATTTTAAAGGGGTGCCTTGACCCCCATCCACTACAGATTTTTATCTAGGAATAGAAGGATTCAAACCCTATTTGATCCCTAGCTCTTTGCTGAAAAGTGCATAAACAGGAATCCTGAATTTATTATATAGACCTCCTCGCATTATATAATCGAAGCAAAGGGAAACCAGCGATGGAGTAGAGGTACGTAGACTAAAAAGATGCTTGCGAATCAAATGATGGTATCAGGAATAGTTAAAGTTTTTTGTTGCCAAACTCGGTCATTATAAATCACAAGTCCAGAGAAAAGCTTTAGTTAATTTTAAATTCCCTGAGGTCCTTTTACTGTGATGGAAAAGCCAAGTAGTCAAGGAAAAAAAGGGAGGGGTGAGGGAAAGGGGAAATGCATAGAGTACTAGAAGGATTTAACAAAGTATGATAGATAAAGCCACAAGAAGTTTTTAAAACTACTAATGACCACAATTCTATTTTAATCAGCTATTTAGCTGGTATCTACTGCTATATCACCTAGTGTGAAGTTTTGGAATTAATGGAACAATGAAAGAAGCAGTGCAGCTGGAGGCTCCCAAGTGGGCACGGAAGGTAGGTTACTCTTGCGGTCTGTGATGTGGAAAGCATGTTTGGGTGAGGGGAACCTGGACTCTGTCTCTTTGCTAGTGAACATTTAGTAATACAATTCAGCAAACATGCATGGACGGTTTCATGCCAGACACTTGGCTGGGAATGTAAAGATTTAAAACGGACAGAGTTCTTGATGAGAAACTTAGGCTCCACTTGGAGCACAAGTCCGTGACCAGTAAAAATGCCAGCTAGTAGTATGAGTACCTAAATGAGGTGATCCTCCTTCCCAGAAGTTAGTGAGCAGGAGAAGGGACTGGGAGAAGCAGCAGGAGGAAGGCATTGTTAAGTGGAATGGGAAAGTTTGAGCAGAGGCTGGGGGTGCATGGCAGAGGGGATGGGCACAGAGTACACAGTTTGAGCTTGGAGTTGGGTGGCCGAGTATAAGTAGATTGGGCTGGAGGCTACAAGTGGAAGTATGATCTGTTCGGGGGCTTTTTGGGAGGTGTCCAGCAACAATGGCCTAGGGACCTGGAGTGTGTTCCATAGCCCAGTAATCTGTTAGTGCATTTGTAACCTCTTAATAGTTGGGGAAGAAAATAGGTATTAATAACTACATAAACTTATTAAATGATATTTTAAAAGTTATCCAAGTAAGTACTTGTCACCACTTTGTTTTTATCCAGGTCTCCAATTTATGCAGTCATTCTGCTGTGAAAATGAACTAACCTTGTTATTGGTGAAGGCCTTGGAAATTTTTGCCAGCCGAGAGAGTTTTCTCTTACTCAGGGTAAGATGTAATCATAGTATGGGAGAGCTAGGCGGGAATTCAATTAACTTAATCCAATGGCCCAATTTCATACTTTGCATCCATTTGTAAACTGAAGCTGAGAACCTGAATGGCCTGCACAGACAGCTTGTTAAAGATCAGGTTTGAGGAGTACTCCTCAGGTTTCCCCCTACTCTTGCAGATACGGCATTGCCTTTTAAAATACAAATGACTGGTCAATTTGAGTAACATAGACTGGATTCAACTCTGACTTGTGTCAGAGTGTACACATGGTATATGGTCTTGGAAACTGCCTTTTCCTTTCTAACAACCTTTCCTGATTATTGTCCAAGTCCTACCTTTGGTGGCTACTAGATGATGAGGATCCATAGAAATGTCTTGGGGCATGTGCTTGACAGCGACAGCCTGTGCGCCGTGCCCCTTGTAAGGACAGCCACAGGAAAGGCGGGCCTGGGAGGGAAAACGGGACTGAGCATGCACTCCCCACTTACCCCTTGAAAAGTCATAAGAGAACACAATAAAACTTCAGGACAGCTTCACCTTCTCTGGCTGACCATGATGATCAAGTAATAGGAGCATTAATAATGCCAGAATCCTGTCTGGTGGTCTTTTTTCATTATCATTTCAAAATCAGGAACACCTCTCGCTTGTGTTTTGTGGTATATTTTTTTCTTAGGAAGTAATGTTGACATTAAAACAAAAAAAAAATTCATTGCTTTGGAAAGGGAGAGTGTTTTTCCTGAATGAATAAATGCTATGGGCTTGGTTGGGTGCCTTGTTTTTTTGCCTCTTTTAATGGCAGCGAATTGAATTATAAATGACTGACTTATGTTACTAATGTAATATGTGTGTGATCCTCTGGTGGTTTTGCATCAAACAAGTTCTTAAAATACTTCTATACATACCTTGTGTCTATCCACTTAAAAAAATTAAAACACTGCATACATCCAAAGAAATTTAGAGCATTTAAAAACAAGCTTTACTTTTGGGGAGATCACCTACCTGTTGTAAGAAATGGAATAGGGTCAAGCAGTGAGGACATTTTTAAAAATAGCAATTTACAGGGGTGCCTGGGTGGCTCAGGCGTTAAGCGTCTGCCTTGGCTCAGGTCATGATCCCAGGGTCCTGGGATCGAGCCCCACATCTGGCTCCATGCTCGGTGGGAAGCCTGCTTCTCCCTCTCTCACTCCCCCTGCTTGTGTTCCCTCTCTCGCTGTGTCTCTCTCTGTCAAATAAAATCTTAAAAAAAAAAAAAATAGCAATTTACAAAGTTAAAAAAAAAATCCATTAGTGTTATGTCTTACAATAGCACTGACTAGAAACCAGGAAGTATTGCCTCATTTTTAACAGGGTGCAGTAATACAATTGTGATTTTTGTTTTTAAGGTGAGTTTGAAAATCCAGCTGAGATTCGATTCGATTTCTTGAAATGCCATTATTTACACTCTCTTCTCTGCACTAAGTCTGACAAGGCACCAGATGCTTTGCTGGCAGTAGGTCGAGGACTAGAATAAGCTTGTGGGCATTCATACAAATGTTTTAAAAAAAAGAAAAGAAACTACAACCAACACATCTTTTATTTACTTGATTGAAAGTCTAATGGTACATATGAGGTTTAATCGAGTTGCTCTCCATTTTATTCACACTGACTCCACGGAGTTGTATTTTCAAGCATGATTCCGCTCAACTGCTGCTCTTGCTGGGGCTTTGTTTTCTTTCAGGGTCAAGGTGGGTACTTTCATACAAAATCTTATTTTTAATCCCATCTCTGGCAATTCTTTCCTGGATTCTTAGCTTTGCATAATTATACCTACAATGGAACCTTATAAGAAAAGAACACAAATGTCATTTTTAATAATAAAGTTTCTCTAGAAACCAGCCTGAAATTTGTAGTAACAAAATCTAAGATGTTATAGATGACTACCCCAAGATTTTTTGAAAATACAACCATTCTAATTTGGGAGTGCTATCTTGGGGTGGTTTGGTGTCAGAAATACCTAGTTATTAAGGTAGGTTTTACATAAAATGAGGCTTTTTTTAATTACCTCTAGCTTAGTTTTACTTGTAGAACCTCATCTAGTGGAACTATATATATACTGTGTACTCTTGGCTCTGGCTTTATTTTGCTCAAGAAAACATTCATGCATGTGTTTTGTTAGTTGTGAACACATCTTTAAAGCCTTTCCAGATGTGACGTCATGAGCAAGAAATGAGCATCGGGGTTGAGGCCTTCCTAAATAAAGTAGAAATCATAACTTGGTATTGATGAAATGTCATGCATTTATCTGCTTGTTTGACAAATGGTATACAATGTGTCTACACAGACATACTTAAAGAGGTTTCTTCCTCACGGGTTGGGGGGTGGGGTGGGAGACCGATAGCTTGAAAAGAGCATGTGTTTGAAGTAGATCAATCTATCATGATCCTGGAACTTCTTGAATTAGTACACATACCAGCATCCTAAAGTCACCAGGATAAATCCTCCTACTCCAACGTCACATGATCTTCTAATCCTACCTGTCAAAAAGCATAACCACTGTAATTAAATTCTACATTACATATTAGTCCATTTAGAAAATGTTGATCATACGTAGAGAAAAACAAGATACTCACTAGTTAACAAAAAATGTCCAAGGCCAGCCACAACAGATCCTAATGAACCATACAATATTGAATCCCGTGCACAGGGAATGTTTTCAACATCTAAAATTCCTAGGAGCTTAAAGGGCTAGGATAAAATAGAAAAGAACCTGGATTGAACAAGGAAATAATTTCAGGGTGGTTTGGCAAAGATTAGAGTATGTGCTAGGGTGATAGCCACAAATCTTGCTTACCATCTTTGGTCATCTGGCTTTGGCCTACAGTCTGTAAATGGGAAACCTTGAGAATCTGACCAGAAAACCCCAAAACAGCAGGGCAATTTAAACCTAAACCAATTAAATTGTGTTAATACTGCAATTTACTAATTGGTCTGGAAAGAAAAGCATATGCCATTTTATGAGCCCTTTAAACATCTGTATGAAATGATCTGGGAATCTGGCTATCACTGAAATTAAAAAGCACCACCGTTCTTCCAATTTGGGAAGCATAAAAGGGGAAAAGAACTATTCTAACCATGTTTGCTTATAGTGTTCAACTTCAGATTTTATTGGTATTAAAAACGTGTGCAGTCTCTCCTGGTCTGTTTCCTTACGTGTGATAAGAAATTGTACTTGATTTGATTCTTTAATATGACATGGCAGCTACACCTAGGCGGGGAGGGTAGGTGTGACGGGAAAAGCTGGAAATCCAGAGTTGGGTTTCTGTCTCTGCTCTGCCACTAACTGGGATCACTTGTAGGATATATGTATTTTTTTTAAATTTCCGTGGCCCTCCATCTGTAATGAAAGGCATCGGGCTAGGTGATAATTTTAAGTTCAAGTGCTAAAACGAATGATTCTTACATTCTTTCACTGCAGTCTTCATGGGAATTTATGGACTTGATTTTCCTGGTTAAAAAGATACTGCCAGCTTAAGCTTCACATGTTTTAATGTGAATGCCAAATGGAACGGTTTTAGGGGTCTGGGAGGGCAGGACACATTTTTTTAAAGTCACACTTGTTTCATTGGCATTCCTATTAAGAACTTAGAACTAACTTTCCTAAATCTTGATTAAATGCAAGTTTTCAGTAATGCAGCTCTTTAAAAAAAGGAAGGCAACTTGTCCCTTTAAAGGTTTCAATGAATAGTAATACAGCGTGAAGGCGACTTTGCTAAAACGGGAGGATTGTGTAGGATGAGGGGACACTTAGTAAAGGGGAGACGGAGGAGGGGGGATGGGTTAGCCCGGTGATGGGTATTAAGAAGGGCATGTACTGCATGGAGCACTGGGTGTTCTACGAAAACAGTGGATTGTGGATCACCACATCAAAAACTAGTGATGTGCACTGTATGGTGACAACATAAAATTTAAAAGAGTTAAAAAAAAGAAAAGACGTGAAGAAGTGGGGAAAGGACCATAAAAGGGAAGTCAGATTACAGGCTGAATTATGAAGGATGTTCCTGATTGTATGTGTGTTAGTATTCTTTGGCTCAAACTGCTGCCAGAAAAGACAAAGTGTGATTTGGTTCATAATAAAGCAAAAATTTTATTTTGATTATTTTTTTTTTTTAAACTTTGTCTCTCCCTGTTCCGTTCCCCGCCACCCCATCCCTAACATTACTTGGTGGACATAGCTGTGAAAGCTCTTCAACACAAATCTTAGTAAGAGGGGGATTTAATTACGCTTCTAGGCAAGAAACGATCAGCTCAAAAGCCAAGATGAACATAGTCCTGGCAGGCAGGATGGTTGTGAGCCACTCAGTGGACAGCTGGACTCCACATTCCAGTCCAGGGCTAATGCACCCACCTTCAGAGCAGACTTTCTTAGGGCAAGGTCGGAGGTGGTGACTAGTGTCCATTTGAGGTCTTAGAAGCAAGTGAGAGCAACACCTTCCACCACAGGGTAGGCAGTCCTGATGGCTTTCACATTTGGGCAGGGGGCCGTAAGTAGAATAAAAGGAACTATTGGGCTGGCCACCACACACATCACACCATGGCTTTTTCGTGTGGAGTCCCTTCCGTAATGGAGTCCTAGTGTGACTCCCGGATATCCCCAAATCTGCAGACATTTGTGGGGCACTTGGATAAAATGCTATTAACCTCAGTTCTTTACAAAGTAGAAAATACACTTGCCAAATACTGAAACTGCTGCTCAAGTCAGCTAGGAGACCATCTTTCTAGTTCGGAGGTTTTCAAATCTGCTCCCCTCAGATTCTGACTCGGGTCTGGGATGGGCCATGGGGGGGATCTACGTTTAGAAAATTTGAGGGCTTCCCCCCCCCCCCGCCCCATGAACCTATCAGATTGAGGAAACACCTTTTAGATACTGTTTAGGAAAATGTGGGTCGCCTGGGTGGCTCAGTTGTTGAGTGTCTGCCTTCAGCTGGGGTCATGATCCCAGGGTCCTGGGACTGAGCTCCGCATTGGGCTCCCTGCTCAGTGGGAAGCCTGCTTCACTCTCCCACTCCCCCTGCTTGTGTTCCCTCTCTTGCTGTGTCTCTGTCAAATAAATCTTAAAAAAATGTTTGGGATGCCTGGGTGGCTCAGTTGGCTAAGTCTCTTTTTTGGCTCAGGTCGTGATCTCAGGAGCTACAGCTCTGTGCTCAGCATGGAGTCTGCTTGTCCCTACCCCCACTCGGAATCTTTAAATGTTTTGTAAAGGTCTTAAAAAATAATCAGCTTATTTTGGGGTGTCTGGGGGGCATAGTAGGTTAAGCATCTGACTCTTTTGTCATGATCTCGGTTCCGTGGTGGAGCCCCACACGGAGCCCCAAGTTGGGCTCTTTGGCCGAGAAGGCAGTCTGGTTGAGATCCTCCCTCTCCCTCTGCCCCTTAACCCTGTGCGCTCTAAAATCTTAAAAAAAAAAAAAAAAACCCCCTTATTTAAAAAAAAAATGCCTTAACAGAAGTTACATATGCTTTTTAAAATGGAACCTTTTAAAACCCAACATGTGGATACAGGCCAAGGATGCTGCTGCCAAACATTCTCCATTATATTTATCAGCACCAACTCCAACAAAACTGGTCTTATGTCAGTAGTGCTGAAGTTGAGAAATCAACACTGGTCTAATTAAACAACTGCCAGATTTAGAGGTGGCGGGGGGCTGTTGGTGCCAGACCCATTACATCCCTTGTTCTCCACTCTCAGCCTCTCATGTGAGAACACCTCTGAGCGAGTGCAAGTTGACCCGAACCCCCAAAACCTGTCCTTTCCACTGTCAACCCTTTGGTTTGTTCATAAATGAGAAAACCAA